ATTGTCCCATCCGAACGACTAGACGCTTTTTCCATGTCAGTTCCTCTTAACTGTATCACTGACAGGGGGAAACCGAGTTGAAAAATTAAAGGTATTATCTCGACCTATGCCGGGATTGAACCCTGGACCTTCAGGTTAGCGAGCAAGCGTCTAACTCACTGAGCCACCGCGGCTCCCAAAAACATATATGAAAAGGAAGAAAAAGCATTAAGCCAGAAAGGAACTGGACTCATTTTCAAGAACATGTTAAAAATAATACGTTTTGGATTACAGCATAACATCTTTATGCTCCTATATATCCTAATAGAAGGTATTTCTTATACGACAGTGTTTTGGATACACAATCTGCATCAGGATAACTTGTTTCCAAAATTTGACTGTAGGCATGAGCATAGTTGCTGAACAGGGCCAGTTTAGTTCTCAAAGACTGCTCAATTAGGCTTACCCTTGAACCAGAAGACCAAACTGTGTTAGACTCAAAGCCTTCTACACCATTATTCAATTTGATGACTGATTATCTATGTGTCCAGACACGAAAATTTCATATGAATCAACTGATTGGAAAAAATGAGTTGATACTGGCATTTAAAGATGGGTTCCCTCATTTTCATTTATGAAAATCAAAATGCTAATACTTATATGAATAGAAAGTAGAGGTGTTCTAATGACTTGGAAAAATACCAGTTTGTCTCACATGTCCATAATTAATTCATAATTAGCTAAATTAGAAGAGAATTACCAGCAGAATTCCAATGAGTGACCGATCAAGAAAGATCAAAAAGTTCTTTTTTGTTTATCCAGACTGTACTTACATGGACATTTATGATTGGTGAAAACTCTTAATTATATGCAATAAGATCATAATGATATGATTAAGAATACATGATAATTCATTAGAAACACCAATTAATCAAATAGTTTGCTTAATTTGACACTAAAAAATAAGGAAACCCATCTTTAATATAAATGTTTTTATTGTAGAAGAGAGCAACATTTATTTAACTATTCTAAAAGAAGAAAGAGTATAGTCAGACCAATCATTAAAGCTCAGGAACGATTAGACAGACTTAGTAAAAAACGATCATTTAAAGACGGTTCAACGGAGGCTACCAGGTAAGTTAGCTTATATTATTTATCCCTTGCCAACAAATGTGTAGTGAAGTAAGGCATTTAAACGGAAGCTTCTTTATAATCCACCACTTGATATATCGTGGGTGACCGCTTGAAACCTCATATATGCCATATTTGGTCATTTTGACTTTTTGGTACCGTTTGAAAGCTCGTGAAAGCGCGGATCTTGTGATCAAAACCTCGTATTCTTAGCTTGATTGTAAATAACTCAAAAAACACTAATTAAATCACACGTATATAAACAGTCAGATTTAAAACCTTGTAAAATATATTATTATACGAGGTTCAATGAAATGAATGGAGTTGCACATCCTACTTTTCTGCGCCATGAAGACGGGCAACGCCATGCAGGGTGCCATTAGGGAAATTTTGCCAGGACAGCGGCATTAGCCTGCTCTTTTTCGATTTCCAGGGATCTTTAACGTGCACAGCCTGTAGCACACTGGGCCTCAGTTTATTGTCCCATCCGACGACTAGACGCTTTTCCATGTCAGCCCCTCTTACCTTCTTCACTGACAGGGGGAATAAAGATGGACGATTCTTTCCTTTCTATACGCCCACATCTCTCTATGTGGACGTATATTGTCGGCACTCCTGTCGGTCCATCAACATTTGCTTGTAAACGCTCTAAAAACTAGATTTTTTGATGGAATCAAATGAAATTCGGTATGTGTATACATATTCATAAAACGAAGATCAAGTTCGAATTTGAGCTATTTTCGACCGTTAGAAGCAGAGTTATTGCCCTTGCCCCAAAATCTTGAATATTTACCATCTGCATGCTGTGGTGGGCGTATATGGCTGTGGTCCACTATCTGTAAATGTTTATTATATTTTTTTTTTTTTTCAGTCCGGATTCCCAGAAAACTGGTAGCATGACAGGAAGTATGACAACAAGTTCTGAACAAGTTCTTCCTTCCCCGACTAAAATGAGAGCACGGAAAACACGTCATCGCCGTAGCAACAGTAGGGGATCACTCAATACAGCATCACCAATCAAAAGCCCATCAAATAATTCCTTACAGGAGGAACGAGAAATCAAATCTACTGTTTTGAGATTTGCTGACCACCATAAAGAAAGCACAGCTATGTCATCTTTTAAGTATATGGGACCCGGAACGGCCATTAGAGAACAGAAAAATGAAGAAGAAGCATCCAATGACAAACCTACAAATCAGAATTTAAAAGAAAAGAACTTAAACGATGTTTGTTTTGGTTGTGATGGTGGTTGTAGTGACGCTACCTGCAGTTCCAAGCGCTCCAGTCAGGTCAGCGCCGATACTGAAAGTAACCTCAATGATTCTCCCGGTACCAGTCCATTCCATTCCTGTAATAAAGACTTAATAGTGAATTCCCTTCATCAAGCCACATATTATCAAAATTTTCATGGCCAAAACCATATCTACCCGGAAAAAGACTCAAATGAGAACATTAGTTGCTCTCTTGACGAGGTATTAAATAAACTTACAACGCTGCCATTAACTGTTGAAAATGTGGAAAAAACTGGTAAAAACGAGCACAATAACTCACTGAGAAGATTGTCCATGAAAAGAACTATTAGTGATGTGGATATATCTTGTGATCACCTGAATGAACACCCACCTCCTCAATTCACCACCCTTAATCATACACATACAAATCATAATTCTACATACTCAAATTCCAAGGTACGTATTGTAAAAGTGACCCTGCACATCGTATCAGGTATTAAGTTGCACTCAGCCCCATTGCCAGGAATGAATTGGTACTGGGGCTCAGATTTTGGACTCCGGCCCAGAGAACTCATTTCTGACAAATTTGAGCTGCCAAAAACGTATCAAATTGTACAAAGACACTGTAAATGAATCAATCTCTCTGCTGAACTGAAGAAGGTTTTGCTTGGGCTTTATTCTCACTTGCTGGGGCCCAGCCCTCATGGACCCCACCCAAAGGACGGGACTGGTTGCACTGCCCAGTAATGACCTGGCAGTGAAGTATTAAAGGGGACTCAAATCTGGATATTAAATTGACTATATCTTCTGAACGGAGAAAGCTATCGAGATGGAATTGATATCAAAATGTAGCTGATGATGCCAGGAATCTAAATATATTAATAACTCTACATACATCAAATGCTACTTAATACCTGGTTTGATGTGCGGGGTCATGTTTTATAGTTACACACAAATGTTAGTGTGGATGAAAAGAGGTTTTTGGGCCTATTTATGTTCAACAGATGAACTTTTAAATTCTATTTGGACCATTCCATTGCCCAATCTAACACTTTTATGAATCCTTAATATTCCAAATATAGTTTTTTTTTTTAAATGTGTGAAATTTTTCATATTTTTTCACCATCAAAATACTTTTTTGCTAATTTTGAACATTGTAAAACCAACAAGTTTTCATGCCATTTCTGTGCTTGTTAATGTTTTTACCTATTGACTAGCGAAAAAGGTATGAATATGGGCAACCATTCTCCTCTGAGAAAGTTCATTTTAATTGATTAGAATCCCTCTCCTCAAGGGAAGCTATTTGGATATAGTGAACCACTATACCTCAAGGGAAGCTATTTGGATGTAGTGAATCACTATATCTCAAGGGAAGCTATTTGGATATAGTGAATCACTATACCTCAAGGGAAGCTATTTGAATGTAGTGCATCACTATATCTCAAGGGAAGCTATTTGGATATAGTGAAACACTATATCTGAAGGGAAGCTATTTGGATATAGTGAACCACTATACCTCAAGGGAAGCTATTTGGATGTAGTGAATCACTATATCTGAAGGGAAGCTATTTGGATACAGTGAACCACTATAACTCAAGGGAAGCTATTTGGATATAGTGAACCACTATACCTCAAGGGAAGCTATTTGGATATAGTGACTCACTATACCTCAAGGGAAGCTATTTGGATATAGTGGGCTGCTATACCTCAAGGGAAGCTATTTGAATGTAGTGAATCACTATACCTCAAGGGAAGCTATTTGAATATAGTGAACCACTAACTGATAAGGTCATTGATAAGGGACATGGTTTTTTACAGCAATGTTTGCTGTTTATGACGAATTAATTCATTTTATTATTATATTTTAGCATTGTGAAGATTCTTTATCAGAAGAAGAATTTGAAGTGAGTGAAGATGATAAACATCCAAATCATCTGTCAAATTCTTACTCTGATAATAATTCAGACAAATTGTCCGAGAAGGAATTGGCAGTTAGAAGAATGCAGAATCAAGTCACGAACACACCCGATTCCATATTTAAGGTAAATATTGGACTTGAAAGTCAAAACAACACCCCTAATTTTTATACGCCCACATGAAATGGGGGGGGGGGTGTAAATTGCCGTCACCCCTGTCCGTCCGTCCACAATTGCTCGTAAACACTCTACAAGGCACAATTCTTGACCGATTTCGGCGAAACTTGGTATGGTTGTTTGTAATCACCCAAAGATGAACCCTATTGTAAATCAGACGAATTGAAAAATATTTACTATGAGTTATTGCCCTTGTTCTTGAAAACTTGTTCAATTTGTAGCTCGTAAAAACTCTAGAAGGCATGATTCTTGCCGGATTTTGACAATACTTGGTTTTATTATTCAGTCCCGCGCTGAAGATTGAATATTTGTCTTCTAGAGTTTTCACGAGCTAAAGATTGAACACGTTTTCAAGAACAAGGGCAATAACTCATACTCAATATTATTCAGTATCGTCCTAAAGAGTTCAAAAGAAGTGTATGACTGAAGGTTGAATATTTCATACTGATGTTTGTAACTGTACTGCTAAATATTTTTATTCAAAATCAAAGCTGCCAGTGGGCGTATATTACCTTGCCTGGCAAGCTATCTTATAAATGAACTCTTCCAATCATACATGTACAGTTGCATATCGTGGGTGACCGTTTGAAACTTCGTATAACTATATATGACGCGGAATTACTTTTCGAGACAAACGCAAAAAACTATTTGTACGCGTATTTTGTTAAAATCTTTTTTTTACCGCTGTATGTGGTTTTCATTCTTTGAAAATATAAACCTTGTATAACAATTTGAAATCTCCGGCCTATTGAACCAAAAACTCGTATAATAATACAGTATACAAGGTTTTTCATTTTCATCCGCAGAAGAAGGAACATTGAACCTCGTATAATAATATATTTTACAAGGTTTTAAATCTGACTGTTTATATACGTGTTATTTAATTAGTGTTTTTTGAGTTATTTACAATCAAGCTAAGAATACGAGGTTTTGATCACAAGATCCGCGCTTTTACCAGCTTTCAAAATGACCAAATATGGCATATATACAAGGTTTCAAGCGGTCACCCACGATATTGATAGTAAATGTGCATGTGCAGAAGATTCCAATATACAGTTGAGGTGTGTCAGATAGATGACAGATACACTATTTCAAGCTCTGGTTAAGCCAGAGTGTGTGCGAGATAAATCTTTTTTAATTAATCCCTTGAACTGTAAGGTTTACCCCTTTTCCTTGATAATAAGGAATTGTGGGAATTCAAAACAGGTTCTATATGACAGGCTTTCATTGGTTAAAATGGAAAATGAAATGAAATGGTGTTTTACGTCCTACTTTTCTACACCATGTGGGCTAATGAAGACGGGCAACGCCATACAGGGTGCAATGAGGGAAATTTTGCCAGGACAGCGGCATTAGCCTGCTCTTTTTCGTTTTCCAACTGTCGAGGGATTTTTAACGTGCACAGCCTGTAGTACACAGGGCCTCAGTTTATTGTCCCATCCGAACGACTAGACGCTTTTTCATGTCAGCCCCTCTTACCTACATCACTGACAGGGGGAAACTGGGTTGAAAAATCCGAAGGTATTATCTCGATCTATGCCGGGATTGAACCCTGGACCTTCAGGTTAGCGAGCAAGCATCTAACTCACTGAGCCACGGCGACCCTTTTTCATTCGTTAAAGACAACATCATGAGAACTAGACTGCGATAAAAAAAAAAAGATCGATCTTCTCTATGCGAGTTGTTTATTATTTAGATGTATCAAGATTTAAATATTATATTTGTATATTACAGCCACCATTAGACAGTAGTTCAGAACCAGAAGAATGTTGTGATGAGGCAGTACATTCCAGAAGAAACCAAACATTCGATTCAAACGACAATTAAATATTTACATAGTGTTAATATTGATCTCACATTAAAGTTTTTGTCTTATAACAGATAATTTTGTCTTCTTTTTTTTACTGGGCATGTTAGGTAGACATGTTTGTTGTAAAGATGGGTTCCCTTATTTTCATTTATGAAAATGAAAATGCTAATACTTATATGAATAGAAAGTAGAGGTGTTCTAATGACTTGGAAAAATACCAGTTTGTCTCACATGTCCATAATCAATTCATAATTAGCTAAATTAGATGACAATTACCAGCAGAATTCCAATGAGTGACCGATCAAGAAAGATCAAAAAGTCTTTTTCTGTTTATCCAGACTGTACATACATGGACATTTATGATTG